TAATGTTTTTATTTAGTATTTTTAGTTTTATAATATTCTTTCTTGTGTTTGAAGTTTTTAATTTGAAAATTCTTTGTTGGTATTTAATATTTAATGAAGAGAATTTATTCTGATTTAGTTTAAATTATTCTCTTTTGATTTAACTGAAGTCACATTCATTTGTATGTAAGTTACTGTAACTGTTTATATAACACATTACAATGAATATTTAATTTATTTGTTTTCTGAAAGTAAGTTTCTTTCAATTTTTCTTTTCTCAAAAAGAAGTTTGTTTTAATAATGTAAGAATAACAAGTATTTTTCCATATAATTCAAGATTACAACCAGATGAAATAATGCAGATAATGAATTGGATATTAACATATTTAATTAAAATGTACTGTAATAATCAATTCAATCAAGTGTTATTCATACAAATACATATTTGGTTGTTTTATGAAATATAAACCAATGATTTTCATCAAATAGATTATTTATATTATAATTAATAATTACATTATTATATTATTTTAATTTATTTCATTCTCTTTATGAAAAAAAGGAAAAGACAAAAAACGTGAAAATAAAATAGATTGAAAAGAAAAAAGAAGAACTTTTAAAAAGAGATTTTATAGATTTTATGATAAACACCTTTGCAAAACGATGGGTTACAGAATCTACTTCAAATGATATTGAATATGCTTTATTTTCAATCAACAATCATATAATAGAAGTACCAAAAGAATATTTATTTAATGATAGGGCACGAACTACAATAATGCAAACAATAGTTAAATACAATGAGATAAATATTAATAATGGAAAAGTCATTTCATTAAGAGGAGGAATAACTGAAGAAAAAGAATTTAGAACTTATTTAAGATATTTAAGAGGGAGTGTTTTTTGTGAAAAGAAATTAACAGTAAAAAAAATGGCTCGAACCATTTCAATTCTTCTTCAATTTGGAGTTGGAATTAATAGTTCAGTAAAATTACTTGGATTAAATGAAGAAACATGTGAAGAAATTATTGCATATTTTCTTGCTATGTTAAATACAAAAACATTAAATTTAATTATGATAATGGATATTGAAAGAAGTTGGAAGGGATTATTAGAAAATGCATTTGGGACATTATCTTTTTATTATGGAGAAGCGATGTTATCTAATATTCAAGTATTAGAAGGACTTGGAAGATTTTATGACAATTTAGATTTGATTCATGCTTACCTTTCTGAAATGTCTCAAAAAGAAATGAATCCAAAACAACTAATAGATCTTGAACAAGTTTTTTGTCCATCAAAAGAAAATATTTCAGAAACAAAAATTATATTGGGTGGTGGAAGACATTTTGATGAAGGATTTGAACGTAGAAAAAGTAATTTGGCTGCATCTATTCCAAAGAAAGCATCTAAAATTACTACATTTATTGGTGATGATCTTAAGAAGTTTATTATTGTACAATTAGGTATTGAGTCATGGTTAGTACGTTCTATGTTTGTTTTTAAGAAAATGAAAACAAGACAAATGGTAATTGAAGAATGGAAAACAACTGAATTTAATTTATGTGAGAATATGAAAATATTAAAAGAATACTTTAAAGATCCTATGCAACAACTTGTTATTGACAAAACAATTGATGGGTTTGGTAATAAAGAATATAATACACTCTTTTCTACATTAAATGAATGTATTGATTGTTCACAACAAATGGTAAATGAAATGAATAAAATATTAACTCCACAAAATATGAAATGTGATTTTACATTTGGTAAATATGCAGATCAATGGGTAGTATTAGCGCGTTATTTATTACCATACACTACTGACTATAATTATGCTAAAGCTGTTTTTGATAAAATTAAACAAAGTGAAGAAGGAAAACAATTTATTGATGATTGCCAACAAAATATTTTCATTAAAAAAAATACTCGTCCATCATTTGAAGATTTACTCATTCAACCAGTACAACGTCTCATGAGATATCCATTATTATTAAAAGAAATTATTAAAAATACAGGACCTCGACATCCAGATCAACCATTTCTTAAAACAGCATTCACTCATTTTAATTATTTCTCTAATCTTGTCAATGAATTAGGAAAGAAAAGAGATGAATTAAAATATGTTTCACAATTACTTGGAGATGAAACTATTTTTGTTAATAATAGATATATGTATTCTGAGGCTATGGTTACTTATAAAAAGAAACATTGTTATGCTTTCTTATTTAGTGATGAATTAGTATTTGCCAAAGAACAAGCTGTTCAAGAGAATAAACCACTTATTGCAGCAAACAAAGCAACAAAAAAAGTTAAAATTGAAGCATTAATTTGTATTAATGATAAAACAGAAGTGATGCTTTCATCTAATGTATTAAACATTAAAATCGATGATGTTAGTTGTTTGTTATCATTTGATAGTATTGAGAAATGTAAAGAATGGAGTCAAACTATTTCCAAAAATATTACTTATGGATGGTGGGATTTGAACCGTTCTGATTGTTGGGTAGCCCAAATGAGAGATGCAGATAGCGTAGAATAAATCAATTAGTTTTTATTTCTTTTATTTTTCAAATTATTTTTTTAATAAAACAAAAACTTTTATTTATTTATTGAAAATTGTTTAGAAAAATATATTTTCAGTTTAAAAAAAGATTAAAGTAGCATTATTTTTTATTATTATTTTCATAAACTCTTATTTAATTTTAATAAATTTATATTACTGTATTATTAAATTATTATTTTAAATACTCTGATACATCTTAGATAATTAATTTTATATAATTTTATTTTTTAAAATCTTTTATAAATACATATTACGAAATTATAATTTATTTCCTTTTTAAATCTTTTAAATTAAAAGAAATACTTATATATTAAATCTACAATCATTCAAAAAGATTATAACAAAATATTAATAAATGAAATTAAGATATTAAAATTCATAAACAATAAATGATTACTACAATTCTATTTAATATGAAAAAAGTAAAAAAAAAAAAAATATTAGGAAAATAAAAGAAATTTATAATTCACCTTTCTTTACTTTTTCTTCAACAAAAAGTTTCATTTCCCACATTCTTTCAGCATCATTTGTTTTATTTGAAGCAACTACAAAAGTAGGAATACTTCCTCGTGGATCCATTTCAATAATTCTTTCAATATAACATCTTTTAGGATCTTCAGGATCTTTTTCAATTAAGAGTGCAGATTTCTTATAAGCAGTGACATACTTTTTATTAGTTTTAACTTTATCATTTTTAATTGATGTTTGAATGAAAATATGTCCATTCTCAGTTGGATAATTATCATGAAGAGAAACAAATTGTCTTGCAGTAACAGGCCAAGTAACTGAAAAAGCAGTATGTGTTACAAGAATATTAGTACCTTCTACTTGATCAAAAATTTCGTAATTTAAAAGAGACTTATCATATTTCTTTAATTCATCAATATTAGTTTCTTGATTAAATTTAAGCATCTGTTCAAAAGTACAATTACAATGAACTCTACAACGAGTTCTATGACTATACCCTCTCATTGGTAAATCATATAATTTAACATCAGGGTTATTATAAGCAATTGGATTCCATTGAAGTTTTAATTCATTTTCAAACCATTCTTTCATCTCTTTAGCTTCATTGATAAGTTCTTCTTTAGTATTACAAGTAGGTTCTTCAGCCATTAGGGTCGTTTTATATTTTAAGTTCTGAAAAATATATTCAAATTGTTTAAATTTTTAATATAATTTTATAATAAAAGAATAATACTCAAATAACTAAGTTATTTCTAGTTTTATCTTAATGTTATAATCTCATTTTGTTCAGTTATTATTTCCTTATTTTTCTTAGAAAAATGTTATCAAAAGATGAACTTAAATTGTTATTTTAATGTATCTATTAAAGAATTTAATTACTTTACCATTTAAAATACATTATTTATTTATCTGTGTTTATATTGTTGTTTCTCTCATTGTTGTTTATGGATTACAATTAACATTATTACCATCTGGAAAAATATATTCATATAATTATTCTATGATGAAATCCCTTACTTTAATTATTCCTTCATTCTTATTATTCATTGCTGGATTTATTTCAGAAAAAGTGTTTCATGTGACAATTTCAACGCTTAAAATAGAAGAACCACAAATTAAAAAATGGTGGTATGTTATTTCTATTGTACTCATGCCAGTATTAATGACGTTTGGGTCATTTATCTTCTTTTGTATTAATCCATCAATGTGTTCATTAAATGTAATGGGTGAAGTAATGCATCAACAAAAAATTAATGAATTAAATAATATTTCATTATCAGAAAATTGGATACGATTTACCGTTTATACCTCAATTATTATCCAAATTTTAATTTCATCAATAACTTCATTTGGAATAGCACTTTCTCAAGAATATGTTTTTAGATATTTTTTATTTAATGAACTTCTTCAATCTCTTCATCCTCTTTTCTCTGCATTTATTTCTTCTTTTGTATTTGCAATATACAGTATTATTCTTGTCATTCTTGGTGATTATTGTCCATATGAAAATTATCCAGGATCGCCTTATACAGGTATTTTAATGGTTTGTTTGATTCAATTTTTCCTTGGAGTGTTTTTGTGTTTCTTTGCACTAAAAACAAATTCTTTATTTGTTCTTTCATTCCTTCATTCTTCTTGGATTTCTTTACAATCTACATTTATCCCTTTTGTTGATCAAACATCAACCCCAATTTCTATTTTCATAGGTCCATCATATTATGGTATTCTTCCATCATTTCCAATGATTATAGCCACTATTTCCTTTACAATGTTTATGACAAAAAGACCAGTTGGCAATGAATTGAATTTATATTAAAGTAAGTCAGGATCTTATGATTTGTGGCTTTTCCCTCCAACAAAAATACAATCATCCAAACAAAAGATAAAATCAAAAAACAATTTTTTTCTTTTTTATTGAAGTAAAAAAAGTGAAAGGAATTTTTAAATCTTAAAATTCATGCACCCAATTCAAACACCTCCTTATTATAATGGGTTTTCTGCATCAGGGAGAACAGGCGATAGTGACCCAATGAAACAACAATCTATGTCATTAAAGTTATGTTTTTGTCCATTGTGTGATAAACAACAAATGTTATTAGAAAGACAACCATTACAATGGATATTTATTGCTCGATTGATTGTGTATAGTTTAAAACATAAATATAATAAAAGAGATTTCTTTACTTTACAAAGAGACATCCAACAATTTATTATAGACCATTGGTATTTCTTTTCTAACTTAGAACAATTTAGAGTTTCTCAAGAACAATGGACAAGTGCATTGAATGAACAATTTAACAATAATGATTTCTTTACTCTAAGTGATGATAAACTTGCTGTAAGATTAAATAATGATGTTCCACCTTGGGATTATGAACCTGAGGTTGTTCAAGAAATATCTGCATCAAGCCATATAGATGATATAGAATCAAACCAAAACACAGAACAAATTCAAGCTGAATTAAAAGAGAGTTATTTAAAAACATTGCAAATAGCTAAAGTTGCATATTTAACATGTCAAAAAGCTCTTTATGTTTATTCTGATGATAATTCAAAAAATAATGTTTGTTTTTGTTTGTTTATTACATAATTAATTAGTTAATGACTTATTCTAGATAATTGCTCAAATGGAAGAGCTACAAAAGGTAATCAATGAAACAAATTACTTATTAGGATGTTTTCAAAAATAACATTTGCTTTTCTTGTTTCTTTACACAGTAATTTTAAAACCATAATTGATTTTTTTAGAAAAACAAATTCAATTTTCAAAATTGTTCTTCTTTTTTTCTTTGGTTAATTAATTCGTTTTTTAGTCATAATTAATAAACAAGACATTTTTGTGTACTTGAATAGGTGAAGATTTCCTTACAACAGCAGCAGCTAAATCTTTTCTGTTTAAATTTAATAAAATAAAAACTTTTAAAGCATCAGTCTCAGGTGTTTCAAGCATTTTGTCTACTACTTTTAATGCATCTTCATATTTTCCCATAAAAACTAAAGCCATGGCTGATGCATAATTAACATCTTCATTATTTTCTTGTGGTTTTGAAACAAAAAATTCTTGAAGAATTTTTTCTGATTCTTTGGGTAATTGAAGAAAACAATACGTTTTAACTAAATATGATAATGCAGAAATTCGGAGTTGATTATTCTTAGATGCATAAACTTTTTCCCAACAATATTTAGCTAAAAGATAATCACCACTCCAATAACTTATATACCCCATTGCATAATACATAGCCAATACTAATTTATGATTTACTGAACTTTCTGAATTAGTTCGTAATAAAGTTGTCATATTTCGAATATATTGCATTCCAAGAGATAATGGTAATTGTGAATTTTCTGGACTTAATGGTTGTTGGATTAATAACACATGACGAGCAGATGCTGTACCCACATATTGATATTTCATTTGTGCATTCTTAATATAATTATAATGATATTGAATGCAAGAACATGCTAATCGGTACCATAACAATGGATTGTATCTATAGTAATCTACTAATGTAATAAGTGCAGCATGAGCTTCAATAGGTTTATTTTCTAACAGATAACAAAGGCCTAAATTATATGTTGTTGTTTGTTTCCATCCAATAGGATATAATGTTGTTGCAGGTTCTTCTAATGAACTTTTCATTGGTTCATCTTTATGATCAAAACAATGAAAAGCTTTTTGTAACATATATATTGCCACAGCTGGTTTTCCTGAACGAGCAAAAGTACAAGCATTTCCAATATCTTTTAAAGGAGATTCTCCTTGGTATAATGCATCACGTGCTCCATCAAAGTCATTATTTAAATAACAAAAAAGTGCTTGATAATAAGGTTTTCGAGTAATGTCACGACATGAGTTACAAACACAATTAATATGTGAAATTGCTTGAGGGATATTATTTTCATGAATTGATTTTTTCATTAATATCAATTGTGATTCAATATAGTTAATTGTTCCTGGAACATAAATTGGATTAATAAATTCATCTGTAATTCGTTCTAAATTAAATGTTATTGAACCCATTGAACTAACAATACAATAATATAATATCAATGATAATAATTTAATTTGAGACTCTTCTTCACGATTTGAAGACTCTGATAAAAAAGATAATGCATCAGTTGGTTTCCCTACCCTTAATAACCCTACAGCTTTATTGTATAATAGATATGTAGGTTCATTTGTTTCTAATGGAAGAATAGTTGTAATATATTGGTTGTAATCTTGAGATGTAAGTAATTCTAATAAAGCAATATTACTTTGATTTATTACTTTTTGTTCTCCTTCATCATTACTTTCTTCTAACCTTTTTTTTAGTTCTTTAAATTCATTAGGATTATTTGATCTTAAATATTGTTCATAATAACTTTCACTCATCTTTTCCAACTTTTGTTTATTTTTTTTTAGTTTTTTTATTTATATTTTTCTAATTTCTTTTTTTTTTAATGTTTCTATTTTGAAGATATGAAATTTTTTTATTTTCAATTTTCCTTTAGAAAAATCTATTTCTATTTAATTGTTTAGATTGAATGTTTTGAATAATTTGTTTTGTTACAGTTTTTATTATATTCAATTTTTTAGAAAATTAAATCAAAGTATCTATTTGACATGTATTTGTATTAATGAGTCTTTTTCAATAAAAGTGATTTTATTTTTTCATAGAAAATACAAGTGTTAAAAAAAAGCACATCAATTGTTTTTTGTTTTGTTGTAAAATTTTAAATAACATACTATTATTATACTCTTTTAATGAAAGTGACAATGAAAATAATACCAAGAGAGTTGTTTAAAAAAAAGGAGAGATGTTTTTTGATATTAATATACATTAATTACATATAATATAAAAAGAAGTCAAAAGTGGAATAAACAATGAAAAATAAATATCAAATAAGTAATTATGTTTAACAAATGAAATATAACAAAAAATTAAAAAAAAAAGTAATAAGAACTAAAAAATATATTGTTTTTAAAAACAAAAATGAATAACAGCAAGTACAAACAATTTAATGATAATAATAAAATAACAGAAGGTAGTTCAAAATCTTATTTGCTTCTTGGTATATTATTTGCAATTACCATGTCAACAGGTTCAATTTTAGTTTTAGTGATATTTTTTACAAACAATTCAATTATTATTCCTCTCACAGAAAAAGTACCAAATGGAACGTTTTGGAAACAAAAATATTACTCACCTCATGCATATCCATTATATTGTGATACACTCACCTGTCCAATTCTTTCTTTGTTTTATCATCAGTCACTTCCAAATAATGCTGTTCTTAATAATGATATTTCATTAGCATTAAATAATTCATTAATTCAATCAATTTCAAGGTCAGTTCCACGGTTATTTGATGGTCTTTACACATATCATTATAATGCAACAGAACAACAAGGATGGTATGTCACAATAGAATCAATTAAAAGTGTGTATAGTATTAATGAAGCAAAGGACTTACTTAGAATTTCACCAGTTCTTTTAACATTAACAGATGCAGTCAATAATGTTGAAATTAATGGATATAAATTTAAAATTCCAGTTGAGTCTGGAAGAACATTTCATGTAACTAATGACATAACAAATATTGGAATTAAAACGTATTGTGTTGTTGGTTGGGATGATACGTTTGCTGGTGGAGGATTTATTATTCATGGAGGTCTTCATTCACTTACATATTATACTGGAAATGTTTCTATTGAAGTTGAAACTTCGGTATGTCCCAACTCAAGAGGTTCTGTAGATTGGTTAAATGACAACCCTTCACATGACTATAAGAAAAATGAATTGTATGTGAATTATAATGCAACAAAATTACGATGTAATGATCCAATATTTTGTGATAAAACAGGTTTTTATACAATTAAAGTAAGAAATGCAGTAAATTGGAGACAATACCAAGTTTTATTTAATCATTTTAGTGGAGATAATAGATTTATAGAAACAATTGAATTTAATGAATTATCACAATATGAATTAGAATATATCATGGTTATTGATTCTTGCTTTATTAAAAATGATTATTGCGCATATAGTTTTTTGACATATTCATCATTTAAAAAGTTAAAAAATATCTTTGTCTCTCAACCAGATAAAACCCATAAACAATATTCAGTCGTTTGTTTATTCATTGTATTTTTTTGTTAAACTTATTTTTTAAAATGTACGTTTATTTATATAACATATAGGCATTTACTGCATTTAATTATACAGTATGGAAAGATAGAAGAAAAGTTGATCTTACAAAAGAAGTAAAATTCATTCCGAATATATTTGATGGAAATAGTCTGATTTTTGCACCAAAACCAAACAAATAAATAATACATAAACATGATTCAATTAAGTAATTATTTTTCACAATAAGGTTCATTTGGGTACATCATATCAATTGCTTTTTTAAATTTGTTATAAAGTCGAATTCTTTCTTCATTTGTTAAATGGGGTTTAATTTGAATTGGAAATTCATCAGTAATATTGTCTTTAACAATAATAAATCTTTTAATCCTCATATATGATGGAAAAACTGCCATAAGGTCAACAACCCTCTTTTTTAACCATTTCATATATTCACTATTTCTTCTAACATCACCTGGTCCAAATGCTTTTTGTACTTCATTTTCTTTTACTGTAAGTAATGCTCCAGCACATCTCTTTCCATCACCAACAACAAGACAATTATCTATTGTTTGAATTTTTCGTATTAAGTCTTCAATAATTGGACAATGTAAAATAACGTCATTAGAAGTAACAACAGTTGGAGAGACTTTACCAATAACTGAATATATTTTAGTACCATCAACATTAATCATTTCAACTATTGGATTTAATAAAACTCCTTTTTTTCCTCTAACATCTCCACTTACATATCCTGGAGTTACTGAAGGTCCCCATACTCTTAATTTTCCATTATTGACTTGGGTATGCATATCATCAAGTGCAGGACCAGCAGTATTTTCTTCAATGAATCCAGGCCTATTCATTGTAACAAAACCACATGCTTCAGGAGAACAAATTCCAGTACAAATTGAAATAGCTTGAGTTGACTTTGCAAGATAAGTTGAAACACAAATACATTTTTTTGTTATTTTCTTTTGTTTAACAATTTTATTTAATTTTTCAAATACACGTGGTGTAGAAAATAATAAAGAAGGTTTATGTCGTTCAAGTGCTTTTAAAAACGGTATCATTAAACCTCTTGTACTTGTTGAATCGATAACTGAAACAGAACATCTTGTAATAATGGGAATATAAAAACAAAATAATCTTTCTAAATAATAACTATTTGGTAAATGATGTAATATCCGTGTTTTATTATTCAGTGAAAATAATGTAATAATTTGATTTGTTTGAGATAAAACATTCCCTTGTGTCCAAATTATTCCTTTATATCCTCCATGTTTTGATGGAACAAAAACAATTTCAACAATAGAATTTGTAGTAATAGAATTAATTTTTTGATAAAACATTTCATCAGGAACAGACGTAGATCTTGATAAAAAACTTTCAAGAGTAAACACACATTCATTTTCTGTTTCAATACTAATTTCTCCATTTTCAGCATCATAAAATTGTGGTTGTGCTTTAGGATGAATTTTTTCTACCATTTTTTGAGTTAATTTATGTCTTAATTTATTATTAATTTCTGTTGTTCCTTTAAATTCATATGGTTCATATATTTCTTTGTATTCTCCTTCTACGTTAATTAAAATTATATCAAATATATCCCATAAATCACTGAATGTCATTGATGTA